TGGGCAGAAATCAAAGTGTTGTCAGGTTTGCACTGGGTCTAAGGCTCTAGGGGAGAATATGTTCCTTGCTTCTTCCAACTTCTGGTGGCTGTCAGCTTTCCTGGACTCGTGACTGCATCACTCACTCTCTGCCTCTGTGGTCACGTTGCCTTCTCCTATCCGTGTTAAACTGCCCTCTGCTTCTCTCTTATAAGGACACTTATGATTGCATTTAGGGCCCACCTGGGAAATCCAGGAGACTCTCAAGAGCCTTAACTTAATCACATGTGTAAAGTCTTTGCCATATAAGGTAACATTTACAGGTTCCAGGGATTAGGACCTGATATCTTGGGGGCATCATCTAGCCTATTATAGGTATTGTAGGAATTAAATGCAGTAATGAAAAGGTCTCAGAATGGGACATCCAGAGATGTAACTTTCTTTGTTTCTGTAACTTTATTTCTATCACTTCTGACTCTTAGTGTCCTGCCTGCTGAACAGCAAACCATTTAATCTTCCATTACTTGTTTGCTTTCTGGATTATTCTCAGTCTTATTGGGGTAAATTATCAATTCAGTTTCTCTGAGTTAAATTCAGATTTTGAATGTTCTCAATTGAAGATGCAGACCTCCCTTCATTCCTCCAACACTTTTGGTGGGGCATCTAAGTCCCAAGAGGAGTATTAATTCAACTCTTGTCCAACTCTTCTCTTCCTGTTATGGAAACGCTTACTCCTCTGCAAGCTCACTGCCTGTACAAGCTCATGAGCCCCTTCAGCTCATGGTCTTCTCTTAGCCCTTCCATGCTCCTTTTGGAGACTTAGTGCTGCAGTGCTCTTTCTCCATCCTGAGGTGCTGTGGATTCATCTGTTCGACATTATACTCAATTATTGCTTCTCCACCATGTTGGGTGCAGGACTTCTATTTGAGGTTAGAGGTTTCCTAAGGCCGCACTCTGGTTTGAGCTGTACACTTCCCCTTAACTTATCTGAGTTTTTATTATTATTATTATCGTCAACTCCCCATCTTGAAGGAGTTCTAGTTGTGGAAGTGGACAGGATATGAGGCACTTGGAACCTACACCATCCACTTACTATCTAGCTCTCTCTCAGTCTCCAGCTCCATCCTTCCTCTAGCCCCTTACTCTAGCTCCTTTCTTAGAGAACAGGAGTGGGTCCCTGTATCAGGCAATGACGGGTTGGCTAGGCATGAGTCTCCTCAAGCAATTATATCTGGCAAAGATTCATAAAGTCTACTTAGATACTCAAAAGCCAACAAGGTACCTCTCTGTCAATTTTTTTTCTCTGTATAATGCATCTTGAGGACAGAGCGTATGTTGTGTACTTAGTGGTAGAGGAGAGGAAATGGGTACAAAGAAACACAGGTTGGCAAAACACACACATATCTTGATTAATATCTTGAAATTTTCTCCCCTGCAGTTGCTAAGAATATAGATACATTGCTTAGCACATAGTAGTTTTAATAATATGTACCTGTGTTTTACAAGCTTGAAAACACCACTTGGGGTTTTGAGAGAAGTAGGCAGAGGTAAGGATAAAAATATTGTTAGGGATGCAGCTTCCCACTCAACATCTTGGTGATCACTGGATCCCTCTATCTCGTGCTTCTTATAGACTTCCTACGTCATTAATGGCAACTCAGTCCTTCCAAGTGCTTAGGCCAAGAACCTTGGTGTCTTCCTCGACTCCTGTCTCTTTTTTACTCCATATCCACTTTATTAGCAAATTCTTTTGGCTTTACCTTAAAAATACAGTCAAAATCTGTTTATGTCTTATCATGTCTACTGCTACCAGTCTAATCTCAGCCTCATCATCTCTCCGCTGGTTAATTGCAATAGAGCAATAAATGATTTCCCTGCTTTCACCCCAGACTTTTAAAATCATTTCTTTACTCAACAGCCAGTGTGATTAAATAAAAACATAAGTCAATTTACGTCATTCGCTGCTTAAAATGACTTCGCATCTACCTTGCTGTGGACTGCAGGGCATTGTATAATCCCCCAGCTGATCACCGTTACTTCTCTGACCACTTCTTCTGGTCCTCTCTGCTTTGTTCACTTAGCTTCAGCCACATTGGTGTCCTTGCTGTGCTTCAAACATACTAGACTGGCTCTTGACTCAAGAGCTTTGTCTTTGCTTTTCTGCTAGGTAGCTGCTTTGCTCATGCTCTCCTCTCCTTTGGGTCTTTGTTCATACATTACTTTCTCAATGAGGCCTTCCCTGGCAGACTATTGAAGGTGGATTTATTTCTCTTGTGTCCTCAGTACTCTCTCCCTCTGCCTTGCTTTAATTTTTCTCTGTAGTGTTTCTCACCAGTTTTCAAGGTTTACATTTTATTTATATTGCTTGAATCTTCCCATCAGAATGTAAGCTCCATGAGGGTGGTAAATTTTGACTGTTTCATCCAGTACAAAATTCCCAGCCCCTAGATGAGTGTCAAGAATTCCTGAGTGGCACAAATGGTTAAGTGCTCGACTCCTAGCCAAAAGGTTGGCAGTTTGAACCCGCCCAAAAGTGCCGCAGAAGACAGGCCTGGTGATCTGCTTCTGAAAGGTCACAGCCTTGAAAACCCTTTGGAGCAGTTTTACTTTGCCACATGGGGTTGCCATGAGTTGGAATCCAGTCAATAGAAATTAACAACGACAGGTGAGTGTCTGGTATATTGTAGGCCTTCTATAAATATTTGTTTAATGGGTGGATGAATGAATAAATTGTAACTGCCAGACTATATGTTTGGATTTATCTCATAGCAAGTAGGAAGTAGACAAGCTTTTTGAGGAGGGGTTACACTGATACAAATGTTTTAGGAGATTTGCTATGCTATTGGTGTCCAGGTTGGGTTGGAAGAATGAGAAACTAGAGGCTTGATTAGTTAAGAGGCTGTATGAGGAAAGGTAAAGATCTAAATTGGGCTGTGGCAGTGGGAAGTGGGATTGTTAGTTGTGTGAGAGACACTTAGAGGAAGAATCACTCAGATCTGGGGAGAGTTTGAACTTGGAGTAGAAGTAGAGATAGAGGCAAAGGTGAGTTTTAATTCTATATTTATTTGAGAGAATGTGGTAAAAATGACACTGACAGTAACAGAGATAGGAAATTTTAGGCAGAAGAAATTTGAAGGGGAAAAAAAGGTGCAGTTGGACTAGAACTTGAGTGAAAACAATTGCAGCTGGAGATTTCACTTCAAGGACCCATGATGATTAAAGACAGAGAGTGAATTAGTTTAGAGAGGAAAAAAAAGAGTTGAGCCAGGGACTGAGTCTTACTAGGGAGAAGGAGCTAGGGGAGCCAGTTATTGAGACTGGAAAGGAGCAATCTGAGTTAGGAACAGAACCCCGAGAGATGACATACACTTAGCTCAAACTCATCCATATTCAGTGAGCACTTTTACAAGGACTTCCTTTCAGATGAATAAGCTTCTGTTTAAGTATGACATTACTTTCAAGGGTTCGAGTGTTGTAGGTCACAGTTCACTACTGGATATTGAGTTTCTGAGACACAGATACTTTTCAAAAAGGTCCTAGAAGCATCTAAAAAAGCAGAGAATTTCTGTATTCCTAAAAAAGGCAGGGAATGTCTATATTCCTTATTGGCTCTTTTTCATTTCCTGATTTGCATTAGTAATCTTACAATTTTTTTCAACCTTTTATTGAAGTATAACATACATTAAAAAATGTGAACAAACCCTATGTCGACAACTTGATGAAATCTCAGATATTGTATACATCTGAGCAACCAACAACCAGATGAAAAAGCAGAATATTACTCACACTCTAGTGCTCTCCCTTATGCCCGCACTCACCCACTATCCCTGTTATCCTGATTTCTAACACCATAGACTAATGTTGCCTGTTTCAACCTTGTATGAATGGAATCATATAGTATATACCCTTTGTGTTAGACTTTTTTTGTTTAATATTATGTTTGTGAAATTCATCCATATTGTAGTAGATGTTACACTGTGTAACTATTATGCTAATTATTTATTCATTCTTAAGATAGGCATTTGAGAAGTTTCCGTTTGGGACTGTTATAAATAGTACTATTATGAACATCACAATTTCTTATTAGAATAGGCATTTTGCATATTATGTTCACCTCTCTAAAGTTACTGTTGCTTACTTCTCTTAAGTGACCTTCCTACTAAGTGCCTTCCCATCCTACCTAATTATTTTCATTGTTAATACTAAGTATATTTGCCTTAATATTAGTTTTGAAAGTATAAAGTATCACAAGAAGTTAGGCTTCTTGAAAATTTATATCTGCTTGCCTTAAAAATATTCTTTTAACATCTATTTTAATTTTTATCAGTCATACAGATTCTGTATCTTAAATGCATATTGAACCTGTCAAAATTTTCCATAGTTATTGTGGTGAATTGTTCCATCTTGAAATCATTTTTTAATTTTGGCAACATGACAAGATGTATAGAAAGAATAGCTCCCGTATTCTTAATGCAGATTTGTTATTAAACTTATAATTTACTGAACAATAAAAGAAGACTAAGAATTAGCAAAAGAGCACTAGTGGCTCAATGGTTAAGCGCTTGGCTGCCAACAGAAAGGCTGGCGATTCGAAACTACACAGTGGCTGAGCGGGATAAAGACCTGGCTATCTGCTCCCATAAAGATTATAGCCTAGAAAACACTATGGGGCAGTTCTGCTCTGTCACACGGGGTTGCTATGAGTTGAAATCTACTCATTGACACCTAACAACAACAGTTAGCAAAAAAGTACATTGTGATATTTTATATTGCTCTTTTTTTCCAGATTATAGTCTGCTTGGTATAAAAATCAATATTACTAATTCAAAGTTAATGAGAAATTTCATTAATCTTGCTATTTCAGAATTGAGTTGCTATTGCTACATTAAATAAGGATACATACATAATATTTTTACGTGTGTATGGATGTATATGTGTGTATGTGTAAATATATACATGCACACACACGGACATATATCTGTCTCTCTGTCTACAGCATATTCATTAAACATTCTTTACAGAAAGAACGATAGAAGACCACGAACTGGTAATTGAAGTGCTATCCAGTTGGGGAATGGAAGAAGACAATAAGCTATGCTTTAGAAAAAATTATGCCAAATATGAATTCTTTAAAAACCCAATGGTAAGTGAAGTATCCCTTAATGATTATAGAAAAAAAAAAATCAGTTACATTTCCTTTAATTTTATGCTGAAAAGAGAGTCACTATAAATAAAATACAGTTCTTTGTTAGTTTGTAGATAAAAATTCTGGTCATTTTAAATCGTAGTCACATTTCTTCTTACTCTTAACAATGATTAGTCAGCATCATACTGAGAAGTTCAGGTACACAGAAGAAATATTTTTAACCATGCTGGCAAAAATCTGAATTGAGAGTGATTTGGAAAAATTATTTAATTAAAAAATTCTAAGAAACCTAGTTGGGGTAACCATTGCTTCTTTTCCTACCGTTTTAGAAAAAAATAACTTACGTATTTTGATTTGGGAAATAAAGTATTATATATGTCCTCAGATTATAAAACTGTTACACTTTCATATTTTTTTGTAGAATTTGGGAAATAAGAAACTTTCTAAAGTAAAAACAGATGGATAATTGTTGGTAGTATTGTAACTTAGCCAGAAATTTAAGATTGACAAGAAGCTTGCTGTTCCAAATTATTTTGTTTTCACTGCAGTAATTACTGAGCTAAGTAGAAATGAGGTAAGGACCAGTGCATTATCTGGTAAATACTACTTTCGTTGTAGTTCTCTTTAAAAGAAAATAAATGTATGTCACATTCTAATGAAGATTAGAGATCTGGAGAAGTCAGAATAGCCTCTGGGCTCATTATTTTAAATTGTCTTTGTCTCTGCAGCTGTAGCATATTTTTGCACTAAGTTTTGGATAATTGGATTGAAATGATCCTTTATGAAAAATATATGATACACACCATAATAGAATATTTTCAAACCCTGAAAGACCTCTTACATTGGCTTTTATTTTTAACTTATTAATAGGGACGTAATGGGATGATCTTTGACAAAGAAAATAAGAGTTCTAATAAAAATTAAATAGAATTTGAATTTGAAGGGGAAGTTTTCTTGTTGTGAATCTTTATTAAAAGCAAGAAGTTAAAAGTCACATTGAAAAAAATATGGTTTAGTGCTTGTTTTTGTTATAAACAAGGCTGGGTATTCATTGTATAGACCTAGAGCAGTAATTCTCAACTGGGGGCGATTTGGCAATGCCTGGAGACATGTTTGGTTATTACACCTGGGGGTGGTGCTAGTGGATAGAAGCCGGAGATGCTGCTAAACATCCTACAATGCACAGGATAGCTCCCCACACAAAGAATCATCAGACTAAAATATCAGTAAAACTGCTGTTGAAAAAAACCTGTCCTAGAGAAAGTATAGTAAAATGTGCTTTCCCCAATTTCTCTGATCCTAAAAATTACCTGGGGGAAGGAAAGAGGTGCTTGTTAAAAATACAGAATCCAGGAGCTACCTAGACCTACTGAATCATAAACTCTAGGAAGAGGCCTGGGAATTTCTGTGTTACTGCCCTAGGTGATTTTTATGATCAAATAAGTTTAGAAAATGATAAGTAGAAAGGACTGGACTTTTAGCTCGCTGGCCCTGGTTTAAGTCCTTGCTCCTCTACTTTGTGGTTTGTGACCTTGGGCGTGCTCATTACTTCTCTGAGCCTTGATTTTGTAAGATTGGGCCAATAGTCCTTCAGTACCTGGTGGAGTGGTTGCAGGATTCAGGGACAAGATGTGGGAGCAAGTACATTGCCAACTTCAGGGCAGCGTTTGGAAACTCAAGGTAGGTGGAACAGCATCATCCAGGGTGTTGTTAATCCTTGGGTCCTAATCCAGAGCTTCTCATTAAGATACTTTCTCGTAAGAGTCCAGGGGCTTGCATTTTCAAAAGTACTTGAATAAATTTTAGGAACACTGGTTTAAACACATTGGTTTAAAAAATGTTTGCTTTACACTACTTAATTGGTTATAACTGAACTTTTTCTAGCATGGATTTTGGGATAACCTGTATCTTTCTGTCAGTATTTTTTTCCAGAACATATGGTGTCTTTTGCAACTGAAACCAATGGTGAAATATCCCCCACACAGATTTTACAGGTATGATGTATTTTTGTTCAGTATGTAGAACACAATAAAGGGAAGCTTTGAGATCTTTATTTATACATGCCCAGATTCTGAAATGTTATGCCTTGAATATTTATTTATTTTTTCTGGAGATAAAACTAAAAAAAAAAGAAAAAAAACCCCCCGGAGTAAAGAATGCCCCAAATCAATAAACCACACCTAACAATATTCTTCTTAGTTTTGGCCAATTGTCTAAGGATTATAAACATTTTAAAAATGTGTATCTTGAAAGGAAATTCGCAGAGCTTTGCTCTGTGATGGAGCCCTGGTGTCACAGTGGTTAAGAGCTCGAGTGCTAACCAAAAGGTCAACAGTTCAAATCCACCAGCTGCTCCTTGGAAACCCGGTGGGACAGTTCTACTCTGTCCTGTAGGGTCACTGTGAGTTGGAATCGACTGAACAGCAACAGGTTTGGTTTTGGTTTCGGTTGCTTTGTGATGTGTTTAAAGATTTATGTTCATCTTTTGAAAAATCAAAGTTCCCAGTAAAATTGCAGACATTTTTCTAATAGTTATCTAGTGTTTGCTTTTATGCTAACTCTCTAAGTCCTATTTGTGATAAAATATTTTTCAATTAAATGAAAGGAGAAAAGGATATAAAATAGTTATCTATTTAATTAGTTTCATTTAGTTTAATTTAAAATTTGTAAGAGCTCTGATGAAAATACTTGCATAGAGTTGTGAAATTTTAGCTGAATTAAGAATACTAGTTATCTGATTATGTCATGGAGCACTGATGGTGCAGTGGTTAAGAGCTCAGCTGCTAACCAACCAGCTGCTCCTTGGAAACCTTATGGGGCAGTTATACTCTGTCCTATAGGGTTGCTATGAGTCCGAATCAACTCGACAGCAACGTGTTTGAATTATGTCATCATTATGTCATCATCTTCTTAGTTTTGTATCAGTTGGGTTCATTTTTTCAAAACTGGTATTGGATTGAAGTAGTCATTTTCTAAGAAATTTTCATTACAATAAGACAATGACTTCAGCTGTTTTATTTTACTTTTGATCGATTAGTCAATTTCACATCAAAAGATCTGTGGTGGTTGTTAATAAGCTAACGTTAAACAATGTCTTTATAACAGTTGATGTTTCAGCTAAGCCCTGGGCATTTCTAAACCCATTCAACATTCTCTGATCTTTAATTAAGAAAACTTTTAATATTACTGCTATAGCTATGACTTCAAAATATTGGGTAGGCATGTCTATCTCAGACTTGTTTTTAATGAGCTTTTTAAATAGGTTATATTTAATTTTAGCATATCAGAATATTTTATAAATATGATTAGTCTCAAGAGATTTTTCTGAAAGCTGCTGGGTTTTCACAGGGAACAACACCCCAACAGAATATTAGGGTAGGTGGTGGTGGCAGCAGTGCCCTGGACCCCCATATTTCAGCCCTCTGAATACTTCACCGCTGTGTTATGACAAGGTGGTAGGTTGGAGGTTTTCTTCCTCCTCCTCTGAATTCTCCTATAATATACTGATATTACTTTTATGTTAAATTATAAAAAACAAGAAAAATCATAGGCTTTGGAAGCAAATAGTCCTGCATATGCCCCTGACCTCTTCTCTCCACTGAGGCAATGTTTTCACTTTTTAAAAGGTTTCTCTTCTTTCTAGTATGACCTCCCTGACTTTCTTTTTAAAATTTAATTGGTTTGATTTAATAACTTGGAAAGCTCTCAGACTAAAAAACCTACTGGCCTGTTTTGCATGTCAATTAATTAATATCTGTGGATCATTAAATTAAAAAAAATTTTAGTAACTTACTAAAGAAAAGTATGTATCTACTACCAGCATTTCGCAGAGTAGCTTTTAAAATATGTTACATTGTTTTAGCTAATAATTTCTCTTACTTTCAGTTTTTCCATTTTATGTTTGTTTATTCATAGGGATTTCTATTTTCTTCTTTTAATGAGACACTAATGCGTTTCCACCATCTCATTAAGGACGCTGAGCACAGCCACGCAGAGCTATTCCTTTTCATTCTCATTTTCCTACCAGCACATGCCCACTGTCTCAGTTCATTATTACTGTGTAACAGACTATTCCAAAACTTAATGGTTTAAAACACCTACTCACATTTTGCCAACAATTTTATGGATCAGAAATTCAGGAAGAATTTAGCTGGGTAGGTAAGCTCTGATACATATGGACTCAGTGGCTGTGGATGGAGGACCTCCTTCCAAGATGGCTTTTTCATTACATGTCTGCTGTCTCAGTGCTCCTTGGGCACTGTCTCTCTCTCTCTACATGGTGTTTCGTCTGCCAGGGCATTTCCACTTGGCTTGAGATTCTACCACATGGCAGTCTGGGTAGTCACATTTCTTACATGACAGCTGGCTTCCAAGAGTCAAGAAGTAGAACCCACCAGGCTGGTTATGGGCTACATCTAAAACTGGCAGGCTGTTAATTCCAGCATATTCTTTAAGAGCAGTCACAAGCCTCGCCCAGATTCAAACTGGTGTAGAAAGAGACTCCACCTCTTGATGATTCAGTGGCAAAGTCACATTGCAGAAGAACCTTTGGAATGGAAGATATTATTGCAGTTCTCTTTGGAAAATACAACTTGCCATACCCACGCACAACTGAGAACCATAGAAGGCAAAGAAGAGATTGTTTGCTTTACCCTCATCAAGGAAGTGAACTTGACTTAAGTTCCTGCTCAACAATTGAAGTCAGAATTGTGGTTTTAGTTATCCCATAATGAAGCTGATAGGTAAACCTGCAGTCTTTGGGGAAATCATGGAAAAGGATGAAAAATATCAGATCTTAACTCTAGATGATTTCTTTTTGAAGGATATTTAGATGACTTATAATTTTCATTGTTGTCTAAGTACTGATCACTTAGAAAGTATATTTTGTGAACATATTTTTATCTGGAACTTGCCTCAGGTTTTCATAAGATTCTCTGATTTATTTTCTGTTTTATGTATATTGTCATTTCTGTAATGGTATAAGTAGTATTAATGCTGTTTGAATTTACATGTTCATATTTGAAATTTTAACATTATAAGGCAACAATGTCTGTCCTCCCTTCACTAACAGTATTAAAATGTCTAATTTTTCTTCCAGATGTTTCTGAGTTCAAGCACATATCCTGAAATCCATGGCTTCTTACATGCAAAAGAACAGGGAAAGAAGTCCTGGAAAAAGATTTACTTCCTTCTAAGAAGATCTGGTTTATATTTTTCTACTAAAGGGACATCAAAGGTAAGTTGATATGTCAGTGATGTGTCTTGAATGACATATTAGTTATAAATTCAAATGGATTTTACTCTGTTATATTTAAAACTTGATTATTTGATGTCAAGAGTTCGTAATTTTTTTGGAATCCAAACATTTACATAATCTATTTCAAACCTAACTATTCAGTGTTATTTCCCACTAGTTTCAACACACATCCTTTGATGAAATCTGACTGCTGTTATTACAATACCACATACACTGCTCATTTCTTCTCCACTCTAAATTCACCCCCTTTTTCTTTATCCTAGGCCTGCAAATCTCCAAGGCCAAACATAGTTCATACCTTTTCTTTTTACCCAGGTCATACTGCTGGACTTAACTGTATCTGAACTTCTGTTGATGTTGATGCAGTTAATAATATCCAACTGAGTCCTTACGTGTTCTTTAGTTCTTTTTTTGTGTTTTATTTTCTTACTTAGATTGTAAATTCCTACAAGAAGTTATGTTATGATTAGGATTAGATGTGTGTGTATATCTGTGTATATACACCTACATACACAGTTACATAAATATGCATATGCAGATATACATATACATAATTATATAAACACACATGTAATCTATATATTTCTGTGTAGTCTAGTCTATATGTAGACTATGCCATACAGTATTGACTTTTTATGCAGTGTATTCATACTTTTCAATTGTAAATACTTTCAAGAGTTTTCATGAGAAGTTATTTTAATTCTGTTTTCGTGTATAAGTAGTTCCCAACTTACGACATATTCAAATTATGACGAACTGCACTTACGACTGCCTGTCCCATTTTTTTTTGTACATCTTGTCATTAGTAATACATACAGTGTTGCAGCGTGTAATTTGCTGATGTTATTATTTTTTCTAAGTTTCTATGTAATGCTTCCAACTCCCAAAGATAAATAAAGATTGGATTTCTAAACATACTGATAATAAAAGGCAATAATAATGAAAACAGAAAAAAAAAAAAAAGGTATTTGACTTCTGTCAGAACCGTTTTATGACAGTCGTTGGAACAGATCCCTGTTGTAAGTCAGAGACTGCCTGTATCTGTTTTTGTCAGAGACATCGTTGTTGCTTCTTTATAGGTAATCTGTCATTCCTCTCTCTCTCTTTTTTTTAATATGCGTATAACTTGGTGTTCAGTAATTTCCCTACCGTGTTTCTAGTCTGTTGAAGTTTGTAGCTAAATCTTACTTGCTTCTCAGCATACACTTTCAATCTTTGTGCTCATAATTTTCTCCTGTACTGGAAATGTTCATCCATTATTTATTTGACTATTTCTTCTCCATTCTCATTATTTGATCCTTGAAATTTTCAGTAGCATTTTCTGTCTTTATTCCATAGTTCTTAATTTTTCTTTTATATTTTCCATCTTTTTATGTCTTCATGCTGCATTCTGAGTGCTTTCCTCATTTCCATATTCCAATTTGTTAATTCTCTTTTCAGCTAAAGCGATTCTGCTTTTCAATTGATACGTTCAGTTTTTCCCCCATAGTTATATATTTTATTTCTAAGTTGTCCAATTGATTCTTTTCCATTTCTTTCTGTTTTTAATAGCGTTTTATTCTCAATCCAAATATATATTCCCTGATTTACTTTTTGAGTATTCTAACATACTTCATAAAATTATTTTTCAGTTTACTGTATTATTTATTTACCCTAGTTATGATTATTGGCTGAGTCTACTGAGTCTCATGGTGATATTTCCTTATCTGCTTTGTGATTGTTGCTGAGCATGAGTTTACTTATCCAAGATAGTACTCTTTGTTGTATTCTTTTACAGTTATCTCAGTTAGACTTTCTGGATTGCAAAACTCCAGTCCTGGATTCATTATGGTACCTAGATTTAAAGAAAAATTATTTGATTGACCTTAATTTGAACTCTGTCTTTCAAAAATATTGCAAAATAACTATTAATTTTCTAACAATGTTAATTTGTTATACTAAAAAATATAAAATATTTTCTTTTTTTCCTTAAGTTCAAAAGCTTGAGCCAGTCCTTTGAAGAATGAGTACTATGTAGGTAGATTGAGATAAGAAGAGAAATTATTTCAGATGGAAGAAAGGCATGACCAAAACATAGAGAACTTTTGGGAAGGGAAAATCGCTGAAAAAGTAGGAAAAGACCACTTTTTAAAGTAATTTATATATATTTTGCTTTACCAAAAAAAAAAAAAAAAACAAACCTATAGCCATTGAGTCGATTCCGACTCATAGCGACCTTATAGGACAGGGTAGAATTGCCCCATAGGGTTTCCAAGGAGCACCTGGTGGATTCGAACAGCCGACCTTTTGGTTAGCAACTGTAGCACTTAATCACTACACCACCAGAGTTTCCCATATTTTGCTTTAGGAAGCCATTAAAATTTTTCTAGCAAGTGAGTGAGCATGGTAAGAAGATGAGTCTGGCCATAAACCCAAACCAAACCCACTGCTGTTGGGTCGATTCTGACTCATAGTAACCCATAGAGAGCTTAAAAAAATCAAGGCGAGATTGAGGGAGACAGAGAGAGAGAGAGAGAGTGAGAGGGAAGGAGCAAGGGAGGCAGGATGGCAGGGAGAGAGAGGAGATAGAGGAGAGAAAGAGATACAGGGTGCTAATTAAATGATCATTTCAGTAATCCAGGTGAGAGGTAATGGGAACCTAATTAGGATGAGAAGTGGAGGGGGAAGAAAGGGATGATGGATACTAGAGTAAATGTCAAATGGCCCGGTTTTGGTGACTGATTTGATATGAAAGAAGAGGAAGTAGTCAAATATGTTCTTAGAGAAAGAAACAAAAATAATAAAGGAATAGAAAATACTGTAGTAGAATAAACAGAAATAGGAGATTTTCTCAAAGGTTACTAAGAAGAAAGATAATGGTCTTAGACAATGTTGTAGATATATTGGGATAAATGTGAAGTATCCAAATGGAAATGCTTGGAACACAGCTAATGATGAAGACCAGATAGTTGGGCAATGGTCCAGACAGGAATATGGAGCTGCAGAAGAGGAATACTTGGCTCTTTTCCAGATTTCCCCTTGCTATTTTTGCATAATTTCTTCCTTGCTCTCATATGTGGTTTTCCTTTGTTGCTTTTCTTGGGCATTTTTTGCTTGTTTTTCAGTTGTGGTATGAGTGGTGGAATGCCTCATGGAATGGGTTTCCACTAGTTTAGTAACCTGTTCCTTTGCATAAATCTCTTATTTATAAGTATATGGCATTATTTTGCTACCTAGTAGTCTATTATATTGATGCATTTAAGTAAACTTTCTTGAACATTTAAACTAGTTTTCAAATTTTTCTGTCATAAATGATGTTAAGATAAATATTTACCCATTTTGCTGTTAAGGTCTTAGATGCTTTCTTAACCATTTTAAAGAGAGAGTTCTTTTCCCAGTGTTCTTAATGTACAAAATAGTATATGAGAGTGCTTTAAGCATGTGTGTACTGGATCAAGTTTTTTACTTTTAACATCAGAGAAAAGTGGTTTCTCAATCTAGTAATCATGTTTCTCTCACGATCATTTTTTCATTGGAAGAGATGATCATGTCTGTTTAACTAACAGATTTCTCATTAAAACTCACTGCCCATTATGTTTTTTTGTTTCATCTTTCACCTCCTTTCCCTCTCTGCCGATTTATACAACAAAACAGCCCTTCTTCCTTCTACTGGATCTGTTCCTTTATCTCTGCAATGGTCTTCCCCTTGGCTAGGCAAAATAGTAAGCATTAAACATCCATTCTCAGGCCAGACCTTAGCTCTCCTCAAGAGAGTGTCTGATTTTGCTACCCATCAACACATAATATTCTTCTTTGTAGCCTGCACCTAGCAAACCCATAGCCTATACATGAAGATGATTTTAAATTCACCCTCAAAGAAAAAAAAAATTGAGGATATTAGGTACCTTCAATGATTATGACCTTAGTACAAATTACGTAGGTTATCTGATACCTAATATGACATTTCTACCTGGCAAGGAGACCATTTCATATTCTTTTTTTAAGGAGATCTCAATTTTCTTTTCTAAAGTCGTAAGCTGCATAGGGGTTAGATATGCACTGCTACAAGCCTTGGGGTTGTGGCTAGGACCTGTTAACAGAGAAACCTCTAAGTAATCTCTTCCTCTTTGCCCTGATACACACATGCACGTGTTTAACTTTTGCTAACTATCCAGCTCATCCTTGTAGTCCTGTAGTGCCATAGGCCTTGCTATGTCTGCAGTAAAGGGGTAAAATTCAATCAAGAGAGGATACTGATCATACCTCCAGTGTTTCTTAAGCTGCCTTTTTCTCACATCTGAACGACTCAGTTGCACTGACTTCTGTGGTATCAGTGGACAGGGATGGCTTTGTGCCATCTTCATAGAAATCAAATATTTGTTTACTACAAAACCAGTTTCTATGAAGGAATAAAATCTATAAGCCATGGCAATAAGAATATCTTTCTCCTTCATCCTCCCTTGTTCTAGGGTCCTAGGCTAGGTCTTTTTTTAATAATTTTCTTTTCTGCATTATTTTCCCATGGAGTTGGGAACTAGAGTTAGTCATTAAATCAAAATGCCTAAGAACACTGACATACAGAGAAATGCTTGCTCTACCAATGATCAGAAATGGGATAGCCCCTGATAAATAACTGGAATTTCTTTGGATTTGAATGGGGTCGCTCACATTGCTGAATGCTGTGGATTTTTACAGCTCCACTTCTCAACTTTTAAAGTTCATGTAGATCACTTAGAAATCATTTTAAAATGCAGATTCTAGTTCAGTAGGTTTGGGATGGGCCCTTGGGAGCTTTCTAACAAGCTCCCAAGGTAATCCTGATGCTACTGATCTGAGTTTACACTTAGAGTAGCTAGATTTTAGAGAACAAGTGTACTTTGGTCAGTTTTGATTATATTTTGTACCCCAGAGTTAAGCATTTCTCCAAGTATTAGCCTGAGAGAATATCATGACCCAGTGATGTCCCATGACCAACTCTAAATCTCCTAGATTTCCCAGAGGAAAAATAGCCGTTCAGGATTCCACTTTGCCTTGAAAATCAGATACATTCCAGTGACAGGTAATTTCCCTGAATTATTCTGCGCAGGTTTCCTTCTTTTCTAAAGGAGGAGAGTGGTGCAGCCTATCTCAGTCCTCCCCTGGTGTGCCCCTGAGAGATGAGGGACCTCATTCAGGAGGAATGTGGTTTGCTCATGAGGGAGACACATGTGAGGGATAACCAGTTTGCACCAAGCAGAAATCATCTTTTCTTTCTTCTTTCTCTTGGCTAAACTTCTGTGGAAGCTCAAACCAGCCTTCTTCCCTTTGTTGAACTGCCATCATTTGAAACCCAGATAGGAAAATCATTTTGAAAAGCCATTCTTTGCTGTCTTCTCTCCCTCACAAAGGAATCTGAGGGATTCTCAATGGTGGTTAAAGAGAGTAATTTTAAAATGAGAAGATGCATTTTTTTTGTACTATTCAAAGTTAAATTATGAGCAAACTGCCACTTCCCAAATTAAATCAAATTGTATCCAGTTCCTGGTTATTTAAGGATATAATGACCTAGTTTTCCTTCGCCTTTGTTTCTGTATACTGAAATTCTGTTTGGAATAATTTTTGCCCAAGGTATAAATTATGTAATATAATAGAAACACAAAGAGAAAGTGTAAAAATATGTATTCATTTCAACACTTTTTTTTTTTTTTCCTAAGGAACCACGGCATTTGCAGTTTTTCAGCGAATTTGGCAATAGTGATATTTATGTGTCACTGGCAGGCAAAAAAAAACACGGAGCGCCCACTAACTATGGATTCTGCTTTAAGGTACAGGCTTAATATTTTGATAGATGAATAAAGCAAGCCTCAGCCTTTTAGGTAAGCTTGGGTTTCTTTTAATTTCTTTTTGAAAGAGATAAGCTTCCTCTTATATATAGGAGAATTTTAGTGGCTTTTATTTCAACAGGTGTTACCTTCAAGATATGCATTAACGATAAACAATGTGCTGTGGCCTTCTAGCCTAACAAAGCAGGAGGGCCCCGAGACCTGAAAATGCTCTGTGCAGAAGAAGAGCAGAGTAGGACGTGCTGGCTGACTGCGATTAGATTGCTTAAGGTAATCTCGCCAGAGGTGCAACTTACTATTAAATGCTGAGAGTACCATAAAAGTTTGAACATATCTGTATTTCAAAACATGAAAACTCACAGTGAATCTGTGTGGCTATATGGCAAAGAAGAAAAATAGCCACCACCAAATATGTGTGTTTTTTTTTTAAGCTAAAAGATAAAAACATTTCCAGAGTAGAGTAGAGTAACCTAATGCATTTATTTTTGTGTGTGTGTGTGGAGTAAGTATTTTATTTCTAGAAATGTTCTGATTTTTACTTTTGTAGAAGTATCACATATGTAGCCAGTATGGCTGATGGAAACATCTATACAGGACTTAGTCTACATTATTAAAATGTTGCCAACATTCCAACATGAGGTGTATTTTAAAATGTACCCACCTGAAGGTGTTTAATGCAATTGCTTGTTATTTCATTTTAGTATCTTCTAAATTTGCTTTCTAGTTTCACAGTTAAATGATTCGAATTATCATATAAGTTTTATGGTGGATATATTTTAAAACATCTGTCTTTGTGCTAAGTAGAAATTACTACTTTCATAAGCATAATTTGTTGGTGAGCATTTTAAAATGAGTAAGAACATTCTAAAGGTAGATAGACTTAAGGAAGAAAGACATTGGATATATTTCCTCCAGAATGTTATAGAAAACATTTATTTTTGAAACCTGTACACAGGTAAATTTAATACAACTTTAAATTTATAATAATAAAAATTATCAGCCATTTCATTTGAAGATACTGCTTTGGTAGTCACGGTGTGTGTGGGAGAAAATTCCAAAAAACACGTCTTTTTCATTGAAAACATACAATTTAAGGACTGTGTCTCTGCTAGAACTGGCCAGTATCATTGCTGCCGAAGTGTGAAAGTCACCTCAATAAAATATATAATGTACTGTTGTTGTTAAATCTTTGGTTTAAAATGGAAGCCTCAACATTTTCTAAGTTACTCTTCATGATTCCTACCTAAGCACTAGAATAGTTTGCTAATATAATTAACCCATTATTATAGGAAGACTTAGATTATTAATATTAGATATATGTGTTAAAACTGGCTCTTTGATATATTTATAAATGGAAATCACAGAGCAGTATAGGGCTTTGTGAGACCTTTGTATTCCACCATTTCATTTAGCCTGACGAAGGAGATGCAGTCAACTCTTTAATTAAATTATAGTCTGTGCATTTTCCAGATCCACTCTTTTCCTTCTGCCATTGCCATTCTCAGTTCTGTAATTTGTTAACCTTTTACTAACATCCCTTTTTAGAGAGAGATCAGGGTAAAGAAGGACAGAATTATCAGAATTGTTAGTTGTTATATTAGGTTTGGAAGAATGTCTTTTTAAAGGGTTTAAATGAAGTTTTTGGATTAACCGTGAAATTTACTTCCTTTTTCTGTTATGACAGATAGCCACCGTGGTTACTTCTTTATAGGGGTTTATTTATTTGTTTCTCAAATGTTCTGCTTTTAAAATGACTACCAATATTTTTTTTTTAAACAAAGCCTAGATGGCTTGGTTCTTTGAAATTCTCTCATGATACGTAGTTGCTTCTGTGTTGTTGATTGTCATAAAATGTGAAAAAGAAAAATAAAAAAGAAAGAAATTTCTAGGATCTTAGAAACCAGCTAGCCCAGGGAGTAGTAACTAGAGACATAACATTAGAATTGCCTAAGAAACTTTCTGAAGTTGTACATGCCCCAGCCCATCCTTTGGGAGCCTCTTTTAGTGAGTCAGTAATCTCTTCAAGTAGCATCAGATGGAGACATTGCTGTTCTCTTTGGAGAAATGTTAGTTACCTATGTTGTTGTTGTTAGGTACTATCGAGTCGGCTGCAACTCACAGCAACCTTACGTATAACAGAACGAAACGTTGCCCAGTCCTGCACCATCCTCACAATCCTTGCTATGTTGAGCCCCTTGTTGCAGCCACTGTGCCAGTCCATCTCGTTGAGGGTCTCCCTCTTTTTCACTGACCATCTGCTTCATCAAGCATGATGTCTTTCTCCAGTGATTGGTCCGTCCTGATGACATGTCCAAAGTAAGCTAGAATCATAGAACATTTGAGGCTTAGAAAAGGGAAGTTTGGGTGTAGTGTCCTAATTACATATTGTTCCCTTCCCTTTAATTAAGTCCTCTGCTGGCTTCTCTCTAACATATTTTACTTCCTTATCTGCCCCTCAATAGGACAGGGAATTGTTAAGGTCACCTTGTGCCCTACCCCTTGTCCAAAGGTAGATACCTATTAAAGATCTCCTGCAGCATAGAGGCAACTGTCTAACACTGCACTTACCAGGCACAATGCATCTTTGAAGAAAACAGTCTTAATAGTAGGTAGCAGGCTTTTCACTGCAGATAAATAAAAGGCAGCCAAGTCAGAACTGACTTGATGGTGATGGATTTGATTTTGGTTTGGTAAGCAGCATTACCTGTGAAAGTGTTGGTTTTAGGTTATTATATACTTTTCAGAATGAATTTGACCAGAATGTCATAAAGTTATGGTATGCTTTGAGTTAATTTAAATTCATTTCATTAGGCCCCAGTAGCATCAATTACACATTAAGTTAAAAAAATAATTTTTCAAAGATGGGAAATAATTGAATGAAAGCAACACAAGAACTTTGAATGAGTGTGGGATTGTATTTTTGTTAAAAGCAAAATCTTGAAAACAGTAACCACTCCCCAGTGTTGCATAATTACAAAATATATCCACTTTCCTGAAATTGCTGTTAATTAAATAATTTTTAGTGGAGAAACAGCTCTGTTGGAATGTTTAAGTTGAATACTTCCTAAAGGTAAGATTTGATTCCAGGATGTCTTGTTGATCTCTTTTATGTGGGACCCACTTTTAAGTTCATGACAGCTTCATGAAAAAGAGAATTATGAAATTTAGCAAAAAGAAAACCTGTCTGTCCCATTGTGTGTGTGTGTGTTTGTGTAGTTTAACAAAATAGCTTAAGCCTAAATGCAGTATCTTCAGTTTCAGGTAGAAACCCCTCTGGGACAGGTTTGGTCATGGCAGCTGGCATTTTATCTATTTGTAATCCAGACACACTTCCTAGTTGTTGCCTGGTAGCCCGGTCCATTTGATGTTACCTTCTGAAATCAAAGAAGTTTCAGTCCTTATCTATATTGGATCACATTGTCTTTTGCCACCTTTTGTCTGAAATCAGCCTGATTTGGCTCTCCTACCATTTGGGCATCCCTGAATTTGAAGCCAAAAATTAAACAATGACATAAGATTATTGATCCCAGAGGATCATACAGTACCAAGAATCCTCAACATAAGTACCAAGTTTTGGATTTACCAAAGAGACAGTGGAATTCATTGATCAATCATCAGAGAGCTATGGTGAATTTACTCAGTGTTGCTTAGGATGGGTGTGGATTTTCTGAGTCTTTGTACCACCAAGCATGGCACCCTTTTCAAGTGAGCTATCTTATCACTAGACAATGTACTACTCTATATGATTGTAGTATTATTTGATGCTAAAAATAGTGAGTATGAATACCAGCTCCAGAACGTTATACTGGTAAGGTAGATCTTAAATTGTGGGCCCAAGTAAAAACACTGTCATTTTAAATGTGTCATTGCTGGACAATATAAATTTACCTTTCTTTTTTTAAATTGTACTTTAGATGAAGGTTTACAGAACAAACTAGTTTCTCATTAAAGAGTTAGTGCACATATTGTTTCATGACATTGGTTAACAACCCCACGACATGTCAACACTCTCTCTTTTCAACCTTGGGTTCTCTATTACCAGCTTTCCTATCCCCTCCTGCCTTCTACTCCTTGCCTGTGGGCTGGTGTGCCTCTTGAGTCTTGTTTTGTTTTATGGGCCTGTCTAATCTTTGGATGAAGGGTGAACCTCAAGAGTGACTTCATTACAGAGCCAAAAGGGTGTCCGGGGGCCATACTCTCAGGGATTCTCCAGTCTCTGTCAGGCCAGTAAGTCTGGTCTTTTTCTGTGAGTTAGAATTTTGTTCTACATTTTTCTCCAGCTCTGTCCGGGACCCTCTATTGTGATCCCTGTCAGAGCAGTCAGTGGTGGTAGCCAGGCACCATCTTGTTATATTGGACACGATCTGGTGGAGGCCATGTTTGTTGTGGTCTTTTAGCCCTTTAGACTCATCTTTCCCTTGTATCTTTAGTTTTCTTCATTCTTCCTTGCTCCCGAAGGGGTAAGACCAGTGGAATATCTTAGATGGCTGCTCTCAGGCTTTTAAGACCACAGACGCTACTCACCAAAGTAGAATGTAGAACATTTTCTTTATAAACTGTGTTATGCCAATTGAACTAGATGTTCCCCAAGACCATGGTCCCCACAGCTCTCAGCCCAGCAATTCTGTCCCTCTGGGAGTTTGGATGTGTCTGTGGAGCTTCCATGACTTTGCCTTGTACAAGTTGTGCTGGCTTCCCCAGTACTGTGTACTGTCTTACCCTTCACTAAAGTCACCACTTATCTATTGTCTTATTTAGTGTTTTTCCTTCCCCACCCCTCCCCTCCCTCGTAACCATCAAAGATTGTTTCTTTTTGTGTGCAAACCTTTTCATGAGTTTTTACAGTAGTGGTCTCATACAATATTTGTCCTTTTCTGATTGACTTATTTCACTCACATAATACCCTCCAGATTCATCCATGTTATGAGATGCTTTGCAGATTCATTATTGTTCTTTATAGTTGCGTAATACTCCATTGTGTGTATGTACCATAGTTTCTTTATCTATTCATCTGTTGATGGGCATCGAGATTATTTCCATCTTTTTGCTATTGTGAACAATGCTGCAATGAACATGTGTGTGCATATGTCTATTCGTGTGATAACTCTTATTTCTCTAGGATATATTCCTAAGCGTGGGATTGCTGGATCATATGGTATTTCTATTTCTAGCTTTCTAAGGAAGCGCCATATCGTTTTCCAAAATGGTTGTATCATTATGCATTCCCACCAGCAGTGCATAAGAGTTCCAATCTCCCCGCAGCCTCTCCAACATTTGTTATTTTCTGTTTTTTTTGATTCTTGCCAGTAAAGCCCGGGTGAGATGGTATCTCATTGTGGTTTGAATTTGCATTTCTCTAATGGCTAGTGATTGTGAGCATTTCCTCATGTGTCTGTTACCTGCTTTAGTGTCTTCTTTGGTGAAGTATCTGTTCATTTCCTTTGCTCTTCCTGTTGTTAATTTCTACTTTGATGGCGTTGTGGTCAGAGAAGATACTTTGTATTATTTCAGTGTTTTGGATTTTGTTGAGGGTTGCTCTGTGGCCTAAAATGTGCTCTGTTCTGAGAACGTTCCATGTGCCTTGGAAAATAAGGTGTACTTTGTAGCTTTGGGTGGAATGTTCTGTGTGTGTCTATGAGGTCAAGTTGGCTGATTGTGCGCTTTAGCTCTCCTGTATCTTGTGTTGAGTTTCTTTCTAGATGTTCTGTCCTTTACCAAGAGTGGTGTGTTGAAGTCTCCTACTATTATTGTAGAACTGTCAATTTCTCTTTTCAGTGCTGTTAGAGTTTATTTTATGTATTTTGAAGTCCTGTCATTGGGTGCGTAGATGTTTATGATGGTTATGTCTTCATGGTGGATCATCCTTTAATCATTGTATAGTGTCCTTCTTTGTCTTTTATGGTGGATTTTGTTTTAAAGTCTGTTTTATCTGAGATTAGTATTGCCACTCCTGCTCTTTTTGGTAGCTGTTTTCTTGATATGTTTTCTCCCATCCTTTAATTTTTAATAAACTTATGTCTTTGTTTCTAAGGTGTGTCTCTTGTAGACAGCATATTGATGAATCCTGTTTTTTTTAATCCATTCTATTACTTTTTATATATACTTATTATTGATAGGTGTGAGTTTATTGCTGTCATTTTGTAGTGCTTTTTTTGTGTGTGTGTGTGTGGTGTTGACGTTTTCTTTGTTCCTCTTACTCTCCTGAATTCCTTTTGTTTGTGGATTTTTTTTTTATTTCGTTTTTGTAGATTTTGTTTTTACTGAGACTTTGTTTTTCTTCTTTATTTTGATGAGTAGGTTTGTTTGTTAACTTTCTTTGTGGTTACCTTGAAATTTATCCTTATCTTCCTAGGATTAAACCAGTCTATTATTACTTGGTATCACCTTGCCTTTCTCTCCATCAGAAAATTCTATACCTACACTGTTTATTCCCTCTTTTATTGTTCTGACATTCTTGTCATTTACAGATTAACCTCTCTGGTTCCCTGTTGTAGTTATTTTGATTTTGGATAGTCTTTGAGAGTTCATTTCCTAGCTTGGTATCTGGCTGGTACAATCTTGCGTCCTAGATTCAGGCTGTGGTCTGACGTTGTTTGTTCTCAGACTGAAGGACTGCCTTTAATAATTCTTGTAAGTTTGGTTTGGTTTTTACATATACCCTTAATTTCTGTTTACCTAGAAATGTCCTAATTTCACCATCATATTTGAACAAGAGGTTTACATGATATATTATTCTTGGTTAGCAGTTTTTTTCTTTCAAGGTTTTATATATGTTGTCCCATTGCCTTCTTGCCTGCATGATTTCTGCCAGATAATCAAAGCTTAGTCATTGGTTCCTGTCTGTATGTGACTTTTCATTTTTATCGAGCGGCTCTCAGGATTCTTTCTTTGTCTTTGGTTTTGGTGAGTGTGATTATGATGTGCCTTGGTGATTTTCTTTTGGGGTCTATTGTATATGGAGTTCATTGAGCTTCTTGGATGTCAGATTTTCATCTTTCATTATATTAGGGAAGTTTTCTGTCAGCAATTCTTCAGTGATCCTCTCTGTGTTTTCCGTTTTCTCCCCTGCTCTGGAACTCCAATCACTCACAAATTTTTGCTTTTGATTATATCCCACATAATTTTCAGGGTTTCTTCATTTTTCTTTGTTCTTTTTCCTGATTTTTCCTCAAAGTTGTATCCAAGTGTTTGTCTTTAATTTCGCTGATCCTGTCTTCCATTGTTTCAAACCTGCTCCTCAGCCCTTCTATGACACTGTACATTTTTGAAATGTTGTTGTTTATCTTTTGGATTTCTAATTGTTGTTTTTGTATGATTTCTAGTTGTGAATTTATTTTGGCATTTTTTTCCTGTATTATTTTCCTGAGTTATTCCATTTTTTGGTCTGCCTTTTCCATGAATTTGTCTATTTTTTCCTCATTTTTGTCAGCTTTTTGCTTCAACTCTTGGATAGCTCTGAATATTAGAAATCTGAATTCCCTATCGGGTACTTCTAGTGCCTTTTCTTCTACTGGAAAGTCATCTGATGTTTTATTTTGGACGCCTACTGGAACCATCCAGTCCTGTTTTTTTTAATATGTTTTGATATTATCTGCTGTCTTTGGGACATTCAGTAGTTATTGTCTTCGTTTATTGGTTGTAGATTTGTTTGTTTCATCCTACTTTTTTGTTTTATTTGGTTATGTCTGAGTAGGCAGGCTATGCATTCCTTGTTGTTTGCTTGTCTGTGGGCATGATACTTTTCACCTCCTTGTCCAATGGGCAGGGCCAGCCACTCAGCTGTGATGCGGCAGAGCAGGTCCAGCTGAAGGGAAGACGCTGGGATGGTTTGTTTGTGCCTGTGCTGCTCGGGGGTGTGATGTTCAGCACAAGGTGCAGGTAGGCAGGAAGGAGGGGGAATGTTGTGACGTGTGGAGTAAGATGGGTGTGAGAAAGGAGATAGAGATGTGAGAGAAACAGGAGCCAAATAAAAACAAAGAAACAAACAAAACAAAGAAGAGTACTAAGGGAGCTTGTTGGAGTTGAGAGATGAGAAACTGAGAAATGAAGAAAAAGAAAAAGAGAAATAAATAATTAATTGGAAAAAAAGAAGGGATCCCACTGGTGTGGCTGCTCAGACCAGGGAAGTGTCTCCCTGTCCATGCAGTACAGCCTGGCTAGAAGGGGCAGAGAAGTCACACAGCACCAGGTATTCAGGAGAAAGGAAAAGAAGGTAAGTATAGAGAGATGAGAAACTGAGGAATGAGAAAAAATAAAAATAAAAAAATAAGAGAAATACCCCCAGGGAGCCTACTGGCATGGCTATGCAGACCGGGGAAGTGGCTCCCAAGCTGTATAGTACAGCCTGGCTAGAAGGGGCTTCCAAGCCACAAAAAGAGAAAGAATACAAACAAATGAAACAGAACAAAACAAAACAAAACAGAAACCAAACCAAAACAAACATAAAGTCCCCGGGGATCTCACTAGCTTGGCGATGCAGACCGGGGAAGCAGTTCCCCAGCCAAATGGTGCTTCACAGCCTCTCAAGAAGAAGCAAAGATGGCACACGGAGCCAGGTGCTCGAGAAAAAGTTGGGGGAGGAGGTGAGAGGCAGGGAAGAAACCAAAAGAAGCGGGGAAAAGCAACACCAGCAACAAAGAAGTGGCACTGAGAGAGTTGGCCAGTGTGGGTGGAGCGAATCCAAGCAGCACAGAGCCAGTGCCTCCCAGCCAAGAGACTGCAGCCAGCGGGAAGCAGAAGAGATCAAGAGGGGGGAAGAAGGGGGGAGGGAGCATATATTGATGGTTACTGGGTGCTCTGTCTCCTGGGAGCTCTGTGAAGCTGCTTTCCCGTACTCCGTCTGCTGATCTCCAACAGGAGTCCAAGATGGTGAATCTGTGCTGTGTTAGCTGATAGGGGACCTCCGCTGGTATCTCCCCTAGCACTGTGTTCCCTTGTCAGTTTCTTATTCCATTTGGTGCTTGGCTGAGTTCTTTATCTCTTTGTTTGACACGTAGGGTTCCAGGATTGACGTCTGTCTCTGTTTTACTTAGTTTTTTGGGTCTTTGCTGTGGAGGGATGGTGTGGTCCTTCTATCTGTAGTACCATGTTTGCTTCTCAAGATTTAGCTTTCAAAATTTTGGTTGCTTTTTAAGTAAAGCTTATATTTTTAAGTTGTTTTATATCGATGGTGTGTAATTAATGAAAGTGTTGATTTTCATAAATAATCAGTATAGTAAAAGTGGTGGAAATGTGTTTTTATTTATTTATTCTGCAGTATGGCATGCAGCTGTACCAGAATTACATGCATCCATATCAAGGTAGAAGTGGCTGCAGTTCACAGAGTATATCACCCATGGTAAGTACCAGATTTTTGAACCTATACTTTATTTTCCTTTTATTTACATTATTTCCTTTTGGTCAAGTAAAGTAACTCTTTGGCACCATTCTGCCATAAAGTTATATTTAATTTTGTATTCTTTGATTTGTATGTTTACAGCCTATGTAATAAAATCCTAGCAGTAAGTATATCTGAAGTATTCAATTAAAATAGATAATAGTCCACGTTGAAGAAATTTTTAACATATTTAAAAGAAAGTACTATGTAAGCCATTCTGTCTTATTACTACATTTGAGGATTAGACCTTAATAAGATAATTTACAGTACATTTTCCTTGAGATTGTAGATTAATTTCCTTAATTACTGGTCTTGATTGTGGATTCATTCATTCATTTCTGAGATTGTCATAGTCTAGTATGCCAGTGGATTGGGATTTTAAATGATGCACTATATACATGTGAGCTCTTTTGTGCTCTGGCTTTCTAATAATAAAAATTAAAAAAAATTCAGATTCCTTAAAAAGCAGACTCCAGTCCAGGAAACCTCCAAACTGAAAGCCTAAATAGAGGTCATGCATTGCATTAACGCTGACACTGTTTCTCAGTTTGATAATAAATGTAGCTTGGATATTTACCTGCAGACACAAACATCTTTTTCCTTCTTTAGGACCTGGTTTTAATTTCCTGTGCATTAACATAAGAAATTTATTTCTGAACTTAAAGTTTATGCTCTACAGTTTTTTTTTTGTGCTCCTTAATATTGAGTATATTAGGAATTCAAATGTAGGTGCCTGGGTTACAAATCAGTTTTCATGCGTTTTTTGAAACCTGCATTTCCACTTAGATTAAAAATGTATTCTTCATGGCTATGACCAAGGAAGGAACATGCACCCTACATGTAATGTAGCAGATGAAATACTCAGTTCTAGGAATGAGGCATGAAATAATGTTGATTACGAAGCTTGATAGACTATATAGAAAAAAAGAACTCCAATTCTGTAGTTACATTGCTTTATGTTGTGGAAGAGTAACTTTTCATCTTTGTATCAGATTACTTTTAAGCCCTAAAATAAGAAACTAAAGAAGGTAATGAATTTTTATAAAAAGAATTGCTTTAAGGTGAGTATTTTCTCAATTTGTCATCTTACCCTTATCTTTGAATCCATATGTACATAAAAAGAGTAAGAAATTTTATTAGCTTAATCCTTTCCTAAATCCCTCCAAATTTCTTTGAGAGTCTAAAGTGATTAGAATGAACATGTTAATAGCAGCCAAGCATTTGGAGGCAATTATTGTTTAATTTTCTCTTAATCATAGGAAAAACAAGGTACTTTGTAGTCTCATCACTGTTATTATTAGCATCCAAGTATGGTATATTCTTGCCTTTTTGCATTGAAAGTGACCCTACTTTTGGTCAATACATAAATGATAGTTTGGTTACTGTAAGTTTACTTGTTCAGCCCCCATGTAAATAAAGAGACATTCAGATGAATCTGGTAGGAGGAACTGGGGGTCATAAGGGTTCGAGGTTCAAGTCCACCCAGAGGCATCTTACAAGAAAAGCCTGGCAGTTTATTTCCGAAAAATCAGCCATTGAAAACCCCATGGAGCACAGTTCTGCTCTGTCACACATGGGGTCACCATGAGGCAGAGTTGACTCAGTAACAACTGGTTTTAAGAGGTAGGGCAAGGGCTTAGTGGCCTGTGTGGTGAGGACCTGTACTCTATGGCAGTTGTCATGATCAGAGAAAGTAGCATCTGAAAGTTAAATTAGAGTGACAAGAGTAATATATTTGAGAACTGTATCTCCAATATTCTTAATTTCCCAAGATGGAAACTAAGAAGCATGGGGAGGTTATTGTATTTCCTTCAGTGTCCATGCAGAATCTCACATTTCTAGATTATTACTGAAGAATCAGTGACCTGTGTAATATATGCCAGGGCCCCTCACCAGTCTTAGTTTTCATGCCAAGAACTATTTTCAGTGATGGAAATAGAAAACTTAAGTGTATTTTAATTGTATTTTTAAAGGAACAGTATTCTGTATTTAATTTTTCTAGGTATATATTTTGAGAACAAAAATGAGAAAATAAAATTTCTCATACTATAATGAACATAATAGCTATATATATAGTACATACTGGCCATGCTCATCAGCCTTTGAAATAAGAATCATCAGCAGACATTTCTGAAAGCCAAATGTATTTTTTTATTTCTTTAGGCATACAGAGGATTTATTTAAAGAGGCATCTATTTATGTGGCCCTGGCTGGAGTAAGAAGAACGGAAAACAATTTATTCAGATTCTTATTATTCTTCATTTTTGACCCTGGACTAAACATTTTAAAGTGTAGTTTCATTCTGTGGTACATAAAAGGACCGTAGAAAGGGCATACCTGTTGCTGATTCTACCCTAAACTATCTGTGGGACCTTGGTAGAGCACTGGTGTCTTCCAGTATAAAATAAGGACGGTTGTTGTCATAATCTCTAGAATCTGTTACATCTCTGATGTCCTGTGACTCTTCATGAAGCAGATGAGAGAACAAAAATTCTGTATCCCTTTGCTAAGGACTGCACTGATAGTTTTATCTAGATCCTTCAAATGGGATTGCAGAGAGTGCGTGGCTACTAGCTACTGCTCAGTTAAACTGCCTGAAACACATTTAGGTGCAAATTTTATAAGAGTGACTGGATCTGATCTCAGAGTGTGGCCTAGATCATCCAGGGTATACCCAGGCCTCTTCTTTCTTAAAAAGTGCCATTAAAACCATGGACCCTTTTTTAGGGCCTGCCCTGCATCCCACAAGAAGAAAGAGCTAGAAAAAGGGGCAGATATTTGAGAAATATACCAATTCTGAATGTTTTCAACATTGCTTTCCTGTGTGAAAGAAGTTTAACTGAAAATGACCTTTTGACTTCAAGTCAGACTCTGCTTCACTTCCATTTCTTTGTCCACTAAAGGTAAACTATTAATTTTTTATCCTTCACCTGCCATTTAGTAAAACACAAACAGACAAAAACCTTTGCTGTATTCCTGTTTTCCCCTAGTGTAGTTAATGTAGCAAGTAACGAGTTCCTTATTTGTATCGTAATCTCTCCGCTTATGTCAGGTAATCGTGGAACATGGAATCTTGTTTTATATTCCTTCCTGTTATATGGTAGGCCAAAAAAAGAATAGCTGGTGGTGTTTATTTTTCTTTCCTTAGAGTATTTTATGTTATCAGGAACTTGAGATTACAGAGCCCATCTTGGCATGTGAAGGAAGAGATATTACAAGGATAAAGCTATCATTATGATTGAGGCTAGTTACTCTGTGGTTTAGGCAGGTGGAGGCTTTTCATTAATGTCAGCAAAGCAAAAGTATATCCAACTGGTCCACAGCCCTGCGTGGAAGATCACGGGGTGAGAAGGGCAAACGAAGGTGTGACAGTAAATAGAGATTACAGAGACAGCATCTGTCTGGAAAGAGCAGCTGTCAGTTATAAAAGCTCTTGTAACAAATGAAAGATTGCATGCCGGATCTCGAGAAATATAGATGAACCATAAAAATATTGTGAACTACTACATCATGGTTTGAAGAGAAAATAACAAATGGTAATAAAGAGGAATGTGCAATGCAGTGATAAATGAGCCCTAAATTTATTTTTTTATTTCTTTGTGGACAAGATTTTTTCCAAACACAGATTTGACTATAGTTTGTTAGACCAAGCTAGGAATGGCTGACTCCACATAGAGAGGCATAACATGGTCTTAATTTAAGCCATGAGTCACCAGATAACATTTTGGCTCAGACTTTACCATTAGAACTGTGCCCTTGGTTTTACTCCTCTATTAGTGAAAAATAACAATAACTGTAGTGGGGATAACGTTTTCATGCTGTTTTTGATCCCCCTCCCCCCCACTTTGGAGGAATTTTAATTCTACTTCAAATTGTATAAAATGAGTGAGACTCTTGACTGGAGTTTTTGACAATTGTCGGTTTGTAAGATACATGGCCTCTTGTTGGGTTGCCTACTTTTAAAAAGATGATTGAGAAGTAGAGCTCCAAATAGATAAGTAAACAAAACATAAAAATATAGAACCAGATTTTAGATATTTTACTTTTACCGTCAAAGAATATGGATACAAGAAGTATTTGGAAAAAAGGTGATTTTATTACTTGTTTAAAATATGTTTGTTTCAAGATATCTTCCTTTTATATTAGTTCTTCTTTCATCGTTAATACTTTATTTTGGAAGCTCTAATTTTGCTATGTTCTCACAAGGTGAGGAAAATGTTCATATATTAAATCAGAAAGTTTAATATTATGGAATTATCTGAATTTTACTAAATTTTATTTTCTAATTAAGATAAAAATCGATGTGATAAAGTTTCAAAATACATATTCTAATTTGCTCCATTATAACTATGAATACTATTTTTTTCTTAAGAGATGAAAGTTAATCTGAATTGGAGTTTTTGTGCATCTTGAGTCTCATAAAATAGCTGCTTCATAAGTAGATGGATTTGACATGTAAGTGACAATTGATGAGCCTCAGAACCTAGTGGAAAGATGAGTTCAGAAGTAGTGAATCTTCGTAATCATACAAATTCCTCTCTAAATTGGAGTTTACCATTTTACTGTAGAATATGAAGAGATGAGATTGTTATAGTAGAAAGACATACTTACCTTGAAGGCTTTTAGTCTCTTTATTCATCACTAATTAATTACCTTATCAAATAACTGTATAACTTATTTAAGCAAAATATTTTATAGCCCCATTTTATCTTGAATATGTGCTTTAGCTTTTTAATTTCCTCAAATTAATTTGTTGCTAGCCGCTTTTGATACCACATTCTGGAATGGGAAGCTATTGCCAGCAAAGCACTGGAAGATAACTTTCAAAGGTATTTTCATGGTTAAAAGTGTTTGTTTGTTTGTTTTCCAGAGAAGTATATCAGAGAATTCCCTGGTAGCAATGGACTTCTCAGGCCAGAAAAGCAGAGTTATAGAAAATCCCACTGAAGCCCTCTCAGTTGCGGTTGAAGAAGGTCTTGCTTGGAGGGTACAAATAGCTTCACTTTCTTTGAAATATTTATGATTTGAGTTTGTTGCCCCCCCAAATTTGAAAATAATTTCCCCCTTCCTTGCTCAGAAAAAAGGATGTTTACGACTGGGCATTCATGGTAGCCCCACTGCCTCTTCACAGAGCTCTTCCACAAACATGGGTATGTCTATGTTCATTGTAACTGTATGGATGGATAGAGGTGTATTTAGATGCAGTCACTAAGTGGATGTGGTGGAAAGTATATGCAATTAAGTTGTGATCATTTCAAAAAAAACTGTGTTCATCCATTTAATTTCTTCAGCTATCCACAGATCACAGCCATGGTTTCACCATAAAATTTCTAGAGATGAAGCTCAGCGACTGATTATTCAGCAAGGACTTGTAGATGGGTAAGTTTGATATCTTTGGTTTTGAGTGGTAGCGATTTGGAGTTCTTCTATAAGCAGGATTCACTTATTCGATTCACACGAAGAGTTTTTGACCTTGGCTTGTCATAAAACAGAAATGATTTTGTTCTTTAAGGATGATTATCATTGTATCCTAGTAATAGCTATACAGTAGCTGGTACATAGTTTGTACTTAGTATTTGTTACATGAATGAACTGATAACTGAATAGGACACTTGGCTCTTAACCAATGATCACTAATATTACCCCTTTTGTGCCAGTTCTAGCATCTCAGATATTAATTGATGGGGGAAAAAAAAAAAACTCATTTTTGAGTGTCAGTTAAGTTGGTGGTAGATACTGGAAAAATTCTTTTATTTGAACTTATAATTAATATACTTCCAAAGTGTGGTTTGTCTCATGACATTATCTTACAACTTATATTTTTAATGTATAATGCAGGTTGTTTCTTACATACTTTCACTGCTTTTTATGGGATCTTTTATCTTCAAGGGATGGCCTGAGATGATGACAAGGTTTCAAGGGGATTTAATTCTGGCATTTGGGTAAAAACACGTCTTTTCATGGAAAATTATTAATAGCAAGTCAGCGTCTTACCAGACTCTAAATAAGAGAAAAATTTAATATGCTTCTCTGTGTAGAGTGCAGCCGTTTTGGACATAAATTTGAACAATCTACAGAATTACAATCTGATGAGACTAAGAAAAGAAAGAAATCACAAAGGATTGTTCCAATGTTTTGGACAATTATAATTTCCTTTATTTCTGAGCCCAGTTTTGTAAATAGAATGAAATAGTTGTATAAAGAATGACAATATCCTTTTTATTTTTTTGGTATTCCTTTGGAAAGATGTGATGGTGCCAAGTGGTCCACTAGGTGGTAGTGGTGGTCTACTCGGAAAAGGGAGAATTACAGCTTGATCTATCAGTGACACTCACTTTTGTCCCATCTCCCAGTGATGTCATGTCGGAATCTCACACAGCACAATTGAAATGGATAATCTCATCAGACATCTGTGATGACTCAAATGGGGCTACCTCTGTGCCCAGTCACAGGGAGATTAGCATTGGAGTTACCAGTTGGGACTGTTTGCACAGTCTGTTTGCCAGCAATTAATACAAACATGGTTTTGCACTGTGTTGCCAGTAAATAGGAATCCACGCCTGGCAGCGTTCTTCTCTTAGGCCATTAGGCCACATCTTGTTTCACTAGCCTGACATTATAAAGGCTTTTCTACCTCATTCTTCAGGGTTAAAGTATATGTTGTTTGATTTTTTTTGTTTTGTTTTACTTAAGACATTTTGGTTAATCATTTAATAAATGATTTCAGATTGATTTTTTTTTTTTAATATATTCTTTTCTCACTCTTTCCACTTTTTTTTATATATCTAACAGTAGAAGCTAGAATCAAAAGAGGAAAGGGGAGTCAGGGTAGGAGAAGGGGTAAAAAAAAAAAAAAAAAAAGATCTCATTCGAAATAAATAAAATTTTCTCTTTTCAGGGCCTGATATGACCCAGATGTTAAAATAATCATTTGCTAATGCCTCATTGTCTGTGCAAAAGAGAGATATAGTTACCCATGAACACCCAATTTCCCAGTGGAAAAAGGACATAGCACTAATTGTTGATGCCAACACAACATTATATTGGTTATTGTGAGCAAACGGTCTGACAAATGGGCTATATATTTAACCTATTAAAATGATATTAGCACTGATGACAGTTTTATAGTATAAGATTATATTATGCTGTATTGTTTACCATGTTGGAAAATCCCAGCCATTGAATACACAAGAGAAACCCCTAGCTACAACATTTATGAATATACTTCTTGGATTTGTTATGTGCTATAATTCTATGAAATCTATGAATAAAATGTAGAAACATTGAAATTCCTTCTCTCTTTTTAGAGTTTTCTTGGTGCGGGATAGTCAAAGTAATCCCAAAACTTTCGTACTGTCAATGAGTCATGGACAAAAAATAAAGCACTTTCAAATTATACCAGTAAGTAATTTGTGATTTCACATTCCTATATTAGAAATGATGTTAATGTATAAGCTTTCAGAAACCTTGGTTTTCTTTTGGTCCTTTATTAACTATCATTAGGGAGCTTGTGTTTCGACTGGAGTTAAGTTTGGCAGAAATCGTTTTATGAGCCTGAATTAATATAGCAAATACAGGAATTATAAAAATTAAATTTCCCTTTTTCCACAAAATATGATTTAGCAATATTGTATAGACCCCGTGCCACCTGTTGTTAAAAGGCCACTAAAGATTCTTTCTCCTGAATTCTGCGGTTTATTTTTTTAGACCATCATGTTAAAGCCCCTTCTCTCAAAAACATTGTTGTTTTGTCTTGTTTGTTTGTTTTTAATGGTTATGGATAGAAATACAAGGGCTCTTTAAACTATTCTGAGCACATTTAAAATATCTTTGTGATTCTACTTCTGAGTAGCAAGCACAGCTTGCTTTGGGCTTTTTGCTGCTACTGTTACATATGTGTGCATGTGCGTACCATCTGTGTATTGAAACCAGGTCATGTGGAGTAGAGATTCACTCTACTTTTAAGAAAGTATTACAGAAGATGGCTAAATTACTAATTTTTCCTTTTGAATTGCTTTTTTTGAAATTATTCAAAGACCATCAAAAGTATCCTCCCTACTTCTTTGATTATGTGATCAGTGTTCCTGGCAAGTATGAATTTGTTTGATGTCAGAAGACGTCACTGCCAAAAAAAAAAAAGAACATGAAGCCTGACTGACATTCATTAGCATATTTGATTGCTTCAGAATTAATTTAGTGATACAAATTATGTGAATATTCATTTTTCATATACTAAGGGAGGATGTTAAGTAGATAATATTTAGAAATGGAAATCAATTTCTATAAATGGGAGCATTAAAATATGTTTACTTTTACACAGAATATTTCAGATTTCTCACTGTTTATTGATTCAAGATAGTCATACTGTCCTAACTAACAGAACATTGGGGGATTAAATGTAGAAAAAATAAAGCCACACTGCTTATCCTAAGATCAGATGACATGTTTCTTTTAAATGCAAGTGAAGTTACAAAAAAGAAGTTGACATGCCGTATCGTTATTTTTAGGATGATAAATTTAGTTTTATAAATTTGCCCTTTTTGACGTATGAAGCCACAGTATGCAATGGAATATAATTGTCCTTCTGGATAATTTACTCTCCTTACCAGTTTGTTATTCTTCTTGTAGGTAGAAGATGACGGTGAAACGTTCCACACCCTGGATGATGGCCACACAAGATTTACAGATCTAATCCAGCTAGTGGAGTTTTATCAACTCAATAAGGGTGTACTTCCCTGCAAGTTGAAACATTATTGTGCTAGGATTGCTCTTTAGCCAAACCAGAAGTGACTTGTTAAACTATTGAAGAAAAAGAACTCTAGGAAAAAAAAAAAAAAAAGCCCACAAATAAGGATGAAAATGTTGCCATGGTGAAAAGAATGTATTTTACCTACAGGTTAACAAAAAATAGTTTGTGCATTGCAAATAAGCAAAGACTTGGATTGACATTACATTTCATCATTTAAAATTCATTAGTTAAAATTAAACCTCAGAAAAAATGATTTGGTGTGTTCTTGTGTGATTTTGTATTACTATAATATTTTCTTCAAAAAATGCAAAATGTAAATATCTATTTATCCTTATTTACTACAGAAGCAAGCATTAGAAGCCTCACCCACAAAATATGAAAAAATTTCTGGGTTCAGAATGACTTATTTGTAGTTACATTACTTTTTTGTAACTTAAGAAGTATGATAAAATTTGAGTTATCAATAAAGAGAAGCTACTATAACTTCTTAGTAACAGTAAAAGCTATTTTGAATTATATATTTTCTGAGTTTATCATAACCTGAAACTTAAATCATATTTTGAGGAAGCATCTTAAAATTATTTTGAAATGTATTGATTTTTTTCTGGATGACTTTTATTACATTATTGAATTATTATACTATAAACTTTATACTGGTATTATGGCACACTGCTAGTGTGTGCACTATTCATCACATTTATTTTTTCATTAATTTAATGATTGACTGGAACTATCTACTTATTTTTAAGAAAAAGACCAAAATATAGAGGGAACTTGTCTAATTTTCACACATCTTCTTGTGACATATCATCTGACAATGTGACATTGTCACCTTATATTTCATATGTCCCACATGCTCTAACTTTCATAAGACTCTTTAAAGCCCTCACTACTAGATCATTAACCTAATCAAAGTGGATGAAATTAAAGATTCAAAGTCTATAAAGATCCTAATAGGTAAGTCTGTGCTCTTTTCTTTGTGGACCCCCTTTTCAGTTTCTTAGCATGGCAACATCAATATGGAAGCCAAAGATTTTTGAAACTTGAGATACTAAACTCCTTTTTTTCCTTCTCTGAGACCATCTCAGAAGGTTTAGATGACTCTGTTTTTCCTCTTTTTTTGTGGGAGGGATATTCATTGTTCTAAAAAAGAAAAGAGAAACAAAGACACCAAATAAACAAGATATTGCCCATCTCCTTTAGATAGCCCTTGTAACGATATCGTGGGAAACTTAGAAAGGTATTTTAAACAATATTTCCAACTGCATACTTTAGTTTTAAGTAAAAACTATGTGTTTTGGTAACAGAGCATTTGAAAACATTCATGAAATGCTAATAAAATTAACTATCACTGAAAAAGAATTATTGGTTGCAAATTTTTTTAAATATTCAATTTTGTTCTAGCCAATGCAAAATTAATTCCTAATATACTAAGGCTTGGAACATAAATCTGGTGTTATAAATCTGAGTTCCACAAAAGCTTGGAAAACACAGAATCTCTAGATCAAGCAGCAGGGGGTAAACATACTTACATCTTTCCACTGTTCGGAATGACCTTGAGTATTTCCAATTTAAAAAAATACATTGTGTTTGACTTGGAGCATATTTTCTTATTTTGCATTCAGTTCAAATTGACAATATCAGAAAAAGTAATATTTTAAATACTAGATCAATTTATGCTTCTTTTTTGCTTGTGTCTATAACTTCTTCCATAATCTATATTTATTATTGTGAAGTCTAGATTTTGTATGTAATTTCTTACTTTGATCTTAAAATATATAATCAAGAGAAGTTACTGAGGAAAAATTGACAGAAAACAAAAAACCAAACCCATTGCCATCGAGTCGATTCCAACTCATAGCAGCCCTATTGGACAGAGTAAAACTGCGTCCAGAGCTTCCAGGGAGCTGTTGGTAGGTTCAAACTGCCAACCTGTTTTTTGTTTTTTGTTTTAATTGTAATTAAATGACGTTTACATTTCAAATTAGTCTCCCATACAAAATTTTTTTTTTACATACATTGTTATGAGACCCCAACCGCTCACTCCTCCCCTCCGCCCCTGATTCCCCATGAACATTCAACCAGCTCCTAACTCTGTCTGCCTTCCCATCTCACCTCTGGACAGAAGCTGCCCCTTTGGTCTCTTGTATCGACTTGGCTAAGAGGCACATTCTTCACGATTATCACTTTATGTCCCACAGTCCAGTCCAATCCCTGTCTGAAGAGTTGGCCTCGGAAATTGTTTTAGTTCTGGGGTGATACAGAGTAAAGGGGCCATGCTTTCTGGGGCCCCTCCAGTCTCAGTCAGACCATTAAGTCTGGTCTTCTTACTAGAATTTGAGTTCTGCATCCCATCTTTCTATTGCTCCATCAGGGACCCTCTGTTGTGTTCCCTGTCAGGACATTCATTGGTGGTAGCTGGGCACCATCTAGCTATTCTGGTCTCAGGCTGATTCAAACTGCCAACCTTTTGGTTAGCAGCCATAGCTCTTAACCACTGTGCCTCCAGGGCTCCAGACTGACAGAGCGAAATGGATATTTCCCTGATTCCTTCTGATAAAGGGCTTTGCTCTCAGGTGTGTGTGTGTGTTTAAATCTAATATAAAACAATTTGAGAATCAGACACATTTACAGTTGCTATAAGTATTAAAATGTATCCCCAAAATAAATGTAAATTACCTCTGGATTATTTTTCACTTTGACTTAGCCAAGCTCTGCTACCTTGTACCATTTTGGATTTAGAAGAGGACATTATCAGCTCTGTTTTTCTCCTTTTCTGTTCACATGTTGGAGTTAGTATGCTGTGGTTTCCTAGAAAGAAGCAAACTCAGCAGACCATTTGGTCCACGTTGTGCTTTTTTATCTCCTTAGATTGAAGGATCAGATAATTACTTTGAAACATCCCGGAGACGTAACCAAACGATAAAAATTACTAGGAGTGCCTCAGTTTGGAATAATTACTTGTTTCACATGTATACTCATGTAAGCCCTGAGAGATTTGAGCAGATTGGATAGAAATTTTTATTTTAACTCTGTTGTAAGATGGGCAACATCAATCAATCAGAATCCTCTGACTTCTGAACACCAACAATGCAAGTCTATTCTATTTGTGATGTCAGACTATCCCCTGGATCACGACGTCTCTGAAGAGGGAAGATTATCAATCGCAGTGGTTCCAACTTGGAGCTCAGAGCTGACTCCACTATTGAGAAAGCTCTTGTCTTTTTTGCTGGCATTCTTAAGCTTTTCTGTGGCTTGGGCACGTTTAGCAGCCTGGTGAAGCTCATAGATCCCTATTACAGAATGTCTTTATGTGCATAAAATAAACAAATTCAAAGCAAACTAATTATATAAAAACATAATTCTATATAACCGTATATGGCACAGTGGTTAAAGACCTTGGCTGCTAACCAAAATGTCAACAGTTCAAATCCACCAGCCGCTCCTTGCAAACCCTGTGGGGCAGTTCTCCTCTGTCCTATAGGGTTACTATGAGTTGAAATTGACTCAAAGGCAATGGGTTTGTTTTTTTGGGGGGGTATATGTATCTGGACCCCAGGTTGAAACCCGGCTGTGTTGTGACCTGCTGTGTCTTCTGGTTGTGTTGACTGTTGTCCGTCTGAGACCTCCAGCTTTCTGTCTTGTGTTCTTTAGAGGACATGGTGATTATCAGTCAGTGTTACCCACACTACCAATGGGCACAGAGTAGTTCACTTGAGTGCACGGTTCTGCTAAAACGTATTGTTTATTCACTCAGCCACTTTTCCACATCTACTTCTTTTGGGATGTGTAACCCCTGCCAGTCCTGGCCCCCACACTTTTAGTATCTGTGGCATTAGGCATGTTAGTAACTAGGGCACTGCTAGTAATGTCTCTAGTCGTATATTCCTTAGGCTACAAATTATAGATGTGAACAAGAGAAAGGCTGACTTCTTGATGGGCACATAACTATGCTCACCCAAAAGTTCATTGCAGAGATCCCCCAACTTGAGCTAGGCTTTCAAATGAATTTCTAGTCAGCATATTTTTACTGCAGTTGGGATATCACGTGATTGGTCCTTTGCAGTGAAAATTTCCTTTGTAAATATAAGAAATTCATCATAACCTAATTCAACCCCACATAATACACAAGAGGCTTTAGAAACTGGGATAAAATGACAGTGCTAGAATCATACTTTGTGGGCTTGAATTCCAGCCCATTCCATAGTAGGTGTATAGCCTTTGTGAAATCACAGTTTCTTCATCAGCATAAATGGGATCATCATCATCATAATTATCATCATGACTTCTTAAGTCCTGGTGATTAAATAAAAATCATTCATGTAAAGTGTTTAGCATGTTGTCTAGATCTTAATTTATACTAATTTTTTTCATCACATTGGTGATTGTACATTTACGTCCTCCACTTCACTGGAATATTGCCTGTCTTAGTTATTTAGTGCTACTATAACAGAAATACCACAAGTGGATGGTTTTAACAAAGAGAAGTTTATTTCCTTACAGTAAAATAGGCTAAAAGTCCAAATTCAGGGTGTCAGCTCCAGGGGAAGCCTTTCTCTCTCTTGGCCTTCTCGTCAGTGTTCCCCCGGACGAGGAGCTTCTCGGCTCAGGGATCCCGGCCCAAAGGACGCGCTCTGCTCCAGCACTGCTTTCCTGATGGTATGAGGTCCCCCACTCTCTGCTTGCTTCCCTTTCCTTTTATCTCTTGAGAGAGAAAAAGTGGTGTAGGCCACACCCCAGGGAAACTCCCTTTACATTGGATCAGGGATGTGACCTGGGTAAAGGTGGTGTTACAATCCCACCGTAATCCTCTATAACATAAAATTACCATCACAAAATGGAGGCCCACCACACAATTCTGGAAATCATGGCCCAGCCAAATTGATACACACGTTTTTTGGAGGACATAATTCAAACCATGACATTGCCCTTTTTCACCACTGAGTCCTTTGTTGTGCTACCTCTTGTTTGTCCTTCCTGCCAGGAATTAACATTATACACATACAGTATACATTCTGCCTCTGTCCTTGTTTTGGTTCTTCCTATAAGGCTGTTTTTAGGGAAGAAGCCATGATTATCCTATAGTGGACAACCTAGAAACTGTGGACAACCACATTGGGCCCACCTGTACCATAACCTACAGTCGCGCATGCCTTTTTTAACTTGCTGATTTAAAAGCTAAGTGTGATTTGGGATTCTCACGCTGTCCACAGACAGCCGCCGTCCCCCCGCTCCCCCCCCCAC